GAGTACTTGCCCTCTTTCCAAGTCAACTACAGATATTGCTCCTCTTTACCAGTCTCACTGCTGTCATTCCTCACCTTTCTCCAGTACAGACAAACCTGAGAACACATCAGAAGTGTTTTCTCCCCATGAAAGCCTTCAGGGGTCCTCGATGACTGGCATCTACTTCCAGAAGAGGATGTTCCAGAAAAGCAGCCAGCATGGATAGACCAGCAGTGCTATGAGTGGGTAAACCAGAGAGCCATACAGGGAGTGGTCCAGGATGCCCTGCGAGATGACTGACAAGTAGAGCAACCAACCATCTGGGAAGTTAACGGGCATTTCCAGCAGCTCTTGGAAGAAAAAGACAGAGAAGAGCAGCGTGCAGGCTGGGCTGAGGATGACCAAGATGAAGGCTGACAGGACCCTAAAAGAAGGAGAGAGTAGGGTATCAACACTGTATGTGGCTATGCAGAGCTACTGATGAAACCTCTGTTTGTTTCTTACTTTGGCACATGGGGTGTGATGAAGGCAGCCACAGGCACTAGAGTGAGAGCCAGGATAAAGCCCAGGGAGAAATTGATGAGGGCGGTGCAGCCCAGCAGCACAGCCAGGTACAGCACTGCAGCCAGCTTAAGCACCCTCCAGCCCTGCTCCGTTCCCTCACCCGTCAGGAGTCTGCAATAAACAGCATGATAAACGGCTCACTCTCCAGCATCAACATAGCCTTAAAGGACAGGTTTCCCACTGTCTGGACTACAGTGGTATTTGGTCATTTTCAGCCAGTCAACAGCAGTAATATGGGCAAATAAGGGTTATTAAGATGTTGAGCTTGTGATATGATGTTCAGGAATTAAAAAACTGAAAAAAAGAACCAGCAAGAGAAATAAAAATCCGTAACTGTGTAAGAAGACTTGAAAACACATCAATAAGATTTGGACACAAATGTATAAGAAAAAAAGATTACATGTTACACACAGATGTACAATGTGAGGGTACATATAATTCAGCAACCTTGGGTGCTGCATTTCAGTTTTTTGCTATGAAACTGCTCACATGTTCACAGACGTTATGAATGATAGGATCTCTGAGAAAAGTCCAACTCAGCTCAGAATATTATATCAGTCAACATGTATTGTCATTTAAACCATGAAAAGTCAGCATAAAAAGGAAAAAAGAATCTGTAGAACCTGAGGGGTGTTGCAGGTGTCAGTATCTACCTGTGCGTGTTATGAGGCAAAGCAAGTCCTGCCGTGTAAATAGCGATAGCTGTCAGGACCACAGCCTCAGTCTCAGACACGGGGAAGTGTTCAACAGCCATCTCTTGAAAACGGATTGGCAGCGTGTACAGAGCTACTCCGGTCAGATGACTGATCACCAGAGGTGTCAGCACAGAGAGCACCCCTGGACTGGCCTGCTGGGAGGAACCAGACAATCAAAGTAGTGACTTCAACTCAAGATAAGTAAATACTTAAATTTCAGCCACACTGTTGGGATCTGTATGTCTCACCTGTTCAGTGTCAACAATTCCATCTTCTGTTCTTGACGGTGGAGTCACAAGTTGCACCCAAAGGTCTAAGGCCTATAGCAATGTCAAGGGAAAATCTGATAATCAAGTAAATATCCACAGCAGTGTAAAGGTTATACTATTAAAAACTAACTGTAAAAACGATGGACAGGCTAAGAGCTAACAGAAGTAAAGCCAGCACCACCCTGGGGGCTGGTTGTAGTATAGGTCATAAATCCCACCTCCTCCATGATATTAAAAGAGGAGTGTTTCAGTTGATTTGACAGCTTTGATTGGCAGTCAGATGCTATCACTCCACTTCTGGTTGCTACTGCACAGAATCTGGTTGCAAAAAAAAAAAAAAGATGGCAGCTGACGTATTTGCAATATTTTGGCTTCATTTCTGCATAGTGGAGAGAAGTGGTGATGCCATGACCATCGTATATACTGTATGTCAATGATTAAAAAGTGATCAACTGTACCACAGCCTGAGATGCAGTAAGGTTACATCTACATAAGTGCTGAATGGAAGTAATTTGCTATTCTCCATCATATTTTCAGATAAAAATCAAACAATGTAAAATAACTGTACGGATACACGAAGCAGCAAGATGACGGCAATCAGGCCAAAGGCTGGCATGTAGTATCCGATGGAGACAAAGTGAGAGAGTGATGGCATGAGGTAGAAGAAATAAGACTGGTGCAGGCGCTCCAGGAGGTTGTTCAGCTTACGAAACATTCCTTCCAAAAGCCTACATTTTGACAAAAACAGAAATCAAGGAAAAAAATCCAAACAAAAATGCACTGAAAGACATTAAACCAATACAAACAGTACACTTGCTCTGACCTGCCAACTGTGGTAGCATCAGTTTTATACTGGCGGAAGCTGTTGATGCCTTTGATGGAGGCAGCCTCAATGTGGTAGCGCAGGAATAGACCGTGGTCCCCCCAAGGCCGCCCACTGGCCTGCTTCATTACCATCAGCATCATGGTCTGGACTGCATGGCTATAGCCTGACACACTGTCCCAGTCATTCCTCTGCAGCTTTAGAAACAGAAGAGCAAAATAACCTCATATCTGTTGGCTCATCGATCACAGGGCAGGAGAGAAAATGTACCAGCTTTTAAAAAGCCTTTACCTTGCCCTGAATGGTGCAAATGACTCCTATCTTCTGACAGAAGGCATAGAACAGATTGGCTAGATCCAGGTTGGGTAACTGGCCATTGAGGCCTTCCAGCACCAGGTCCAAACTGGTGATGACATCACTGCTGAGCTCCAGGGACAGAGCTGCCTGGATTGAACCACCACGGCCCTGCAGTGGAGACCAGTCCATACCTATATAAACCATTAAAATTGGTATAACAGAAGAAAAGTCAATAGAGAAATGCACCATGTTGTCTTAAATCAGTTTTGAAAGAAAGAGCTTGAATAGTGTTGACTAAAGTAAATGAAAAACTCAGTACTTTTGAGGATGTATGTTGATCTGGTTTATAACAAGAGTGAAATCAGGTGATCACCTGTAGTGTTGGTGTGGTGGTAGCCCTCCAGCCAGGCCTGCATACCAATCAGATCATGCTCGTTCACAAGGAAGATGATGTCCTTGGCCCAGAAAATTTGACCTATTGTGGAAAACAACAGTCACTAAACCAAGAAATGCAACGGCCTTCAAATTTTGTTAAATTGTACTGAAGGGAGAAACCAGTGGGTGCTGTACTCACTCCTGAAGTACTGTGCCAAGCCAAGTAGCAGCCCCACAGCCTGGTTATTGCTACTGCCTGGGCTGCAGGGAGCACTCAGCACCAAGGCTTCAGTTCGTGGAGCTCTCGGGGCCCGAAGGATCCCATATACATTTGTGCCTTTTACAAACTGAGAGGAAAGAGAATGGCATGACATGAAGAAAAGCCACAGAATATGTATATTGCAAAGAACAGAAACGTGGTCAGAAAATGTCTAATACAAAAATTTAACAAGTCTTCAATTTAAAACTCACATATCTCTCTTTATTTTCATCAGGAAAGGGCAACGTGCGAGAGAAGCTCTGGGTGAACACTTCTAGCCCTTGGGCCTGCATGGTCTTCACCAACCAATCCACAGGCATCCCACTGCAGAGAAAGAACTGGTCACACTACAACCCAAGTTTAAGGCAAAAAGGGTAATGCTATAGGTCTTAGTATGGTGGTTAAAATCAGAAAAAAAACAGTAAATATCACAAATTTAACAACTAACCTTTGTTTACTGTAGTCCAAAATAAGTGCACTGTGCTCAGACCCCCATTGAAAACTAATTCCAAATTTTCAACATGTTAAAATTTGACCATTCCAGTCAAACATCTTTTATGAAATTACAACTCAGACCTGTCTGAAGCTACAACATAACCTGTGCTAAAATATCATGGGGGCCTTTAAGATGCTGATGATGTAACTGAAGCATCCTCAGTCTGAGGCTGGCCACAGACTGTCAGCTTTTATTGTTGCTTGTCTTATGAAAGTTTAAAAATGTTCTCCCCAAAAAACAAAAAACATAACTACTGCCAACTGTTTACAGAGTCCTGTCCTATCAATGCAGTCCATCCATGATGTTGAAAACTAATCTTCATGTAGCATTATCTTTGTTCAGTTGAAGCTGCATGTTACTTACTCTGCTTTCTTCTTATGAGCTGCAAACTCCCTGCCTGTGACCAGCGCCCTCTCCCCTGCTGGAAACTGCTCCTCCACCATGGTAGATCCCATGGCATTCTCTGACATGTATGTCCGCAGAGTGAATGGCTCAAAAGCTAATCCCATGAACCAGGCCACGCCTGCCATATAGCAGACCACACTAAGATGAAGAGATGGAAGTGACATAAATCTTATAAGTACGCACACAAGCACAAAAATAGTCACTGGTGCATCTGAAACTGTGTTACGTGTCTTTTTGTGGTTGCTATGCATGTATGACTGAGTTTCTAACAAGAAATGTTAGTCACATCAAACAAAGCCCCCGACCCCTAAGGCAAAACTCACCAAATTGGAGCATTGAGGCGGGTGAGTAGGTTAATCAAAGCCCGTCTTCTGTTTGGGTCAGACAGTAGTCCCATGTTGTTGTCCGCTTCAACACTATCCTGAGGCCTGGAACACTGGACCCTGAAGGCAGCACACACTGTAATTGCAGCTGTCAGTTAGGTACTATCTATAAGCACGTAATTTATCATTGAGACAGACAACTAAATTTTATACAGTATTTGTTTCCATTCAGTTCGAGCTCAGAAATCATTTTCCTGTCACCCATTGTCACACCAACCATTAACAGTTGTGGTTAGCGTTCTGCTAACTCGCAGGCTGGCTTAGCGAAGATTGTACATTGTTTTAAACCATTGTCCTATGTGAAAACGCGCTGATTATTAATGGTTACCTCATTCAACTTCAATATTGCATACTATTATATCACATAATATGTATAAAGACATACCTCATTCCAGTGCAAAGCCGGTTACATCCACCTGCAGAGGTGGGGCTTGTTCACAGCAGCCGCTGCTAAATGTTTTTAACTTCCGTGTTCCTGCCGGCACATTAATTGACTGATGAACAATCGCCCTGAAAATGCAGAAATCCATTGCTGAAACAGCTGAAGGCTGAGATGCAATGCTGATGAAAAGAAAATGCTGAACAATTATGGAAGATGAAAAAATGTCGAATAAGTATTGCAGACAAAAGGAAAATATTAAATAATTATGGAAGAGTTAAAGAAAAGGTGAAGTTAGGATCTTAAATTCTGAAATTTACAAACAATGTTATTTTGAAAATCTGGTGTGTTTTGGGGCCTTCATATTAACTTAATTATCAATCTGGGGCTCTTATTTTGAAAACCTGGCGCATTTCGGAGCCTTAATGTAAACTTACTTTGTAATCTGGCGCTTTTATTTGAAAAATCTGGCATGTTATGGGGACTTCATGTGAACTTAATTTGCGATCAGTGGCTTTTATTTTGAAATATGACATGTTTTGGGCCCTTCATGTGAAATTAATTTGCATTAAGCTCAATTTAGTAGCTTTTCTGGAGCTTTCAATCATATCATACAATAATTTGTCATAGAGCATTTGAAAGCTTTTTGTCCATACTGGCACAAGGTGAAGAAATGTATCTGACCTAGCTGTCAATACAAGCGTTTGATCCTTTGACAGTCAAAGACGCTTGCCTTTGATTTCTGAACACATCTGGCAGTTAGAAAACTTCTCAGACAAAACTACATCAGATCACACTCTACAACCGACTAAACTGCAGCAGACTAAATTGCACAGTGAGCAAGAGAGATAATAAATCGTGTTAAAATGTCTAACTGCAACAGAAGAAAAAGTGGAAAAGGCAGAATTAGCCTTAAAAATCACAAAGAAGAGGGCAATGAATTCTTTGACACACCGAAAAGAAGAAAAGAGTACATCGTGCAGGATGAGAATGAGGGAGATGAAGTCTTTTACTCTGACAATGACTCTGAAGAGCTTGTCAGTGACAGTGAACAACAGCCAGACGTCTCTGACAGTGACCAGCCTGCCACAAAAAAGTCATCTGTGGTACCAGCAAAGAAGATGAAACCCCAGTGTACCAATAAAGCAGTCTGCCAGGAGTACAAAATGCCTCCCAGCTGGCTGTGGCCTGTTAACCCCTGGAAAATTAATTTCCCAGGGGAAACTGACCAGAAGACCTGCCTGCAGCGCAATAACACACACGCTCCAGCGTGGCAGGCACAGGACAATGTCATAAGCAGAAAAGGCAGAATTACCCTTAAAAACCTCATCAGTCAGGACAAGAATAAATTCGTCCAGACATGCTTAAGAAGACAAGATGATGAAGGCAGAAGTACCCCTCAATATGTCATCACGAAGGACAGGAAAAAGGGAGGTAATGCTCTTCACTTAGGCAATGGGTCTGCAGAATTTGACTGTGACAGGGGCCAAAATGTCATCCAAGAGCCATCTGTGGTAGCAGTAGACAGTGTGAAGCAGTCTACTGAAGAAGCAGCCAGCCAGGCAGACCAAAAGCCACAGCCTGTCAACCCCTGGAAAAATGTTAATTTCCAAAAGGTGGCTGACCAGGAGACCTGCTTACAGCAAGAACAGAAGGGTAAGAATCAGAGGATTCAAACTCAGAAGAAGGCTTCCTGTTTTAGAAACCCAGGTGTTAGTGAACTGAATGTTCCACCTGCACCACAGCCAGCTGTGACAACCAAAATCAGTGCACAGACTGCTGTTAAAAATGAAAAACTCTTTGCAGAGACAACCAAGGCACAATCTGCTGATAAAAAGACCAGCAAAGAGTTTGAGGTCTGCTCAGAACAGACCAAACAGGGCCTTCATCACATCCCTGAGCCGGACCTACATCTGCTCATTCACACAAAGGATGAGAAGAGGCCTACATCTGCTCATTCACACAAAGGATCATGAATCATGACAGTCATCAGAAGTAATCTAAGCAGAGCCCTCTGTTGTCAAAACATATCTTTTCAAAGGATGCATCATAGTGATTTTTAGTAAACACCAGAGGTAATATACCGTACACAGGAGGTGCTAATATCACAAGGGCCTTCTGCAACAGATGGTCAGAAACAAGACTGGCCAGGCTCAATCACAGCATGCACCAGCTCAGCTCAGCGCTTCCTCTGTGTCTGTAGCAAGTAAATGGTCTTATACTTGTATAGCACCTTTCTATGCTTTTACAGTACACTCAAAGCGCTTTCACGTTATTCGGTCATTCACCCATTCGCACTCCCAAACACTCACGCATTCAAACAAACTAAGGGCAGATATGATCCAGGCGAAAACGGACCTGAAAAAAGAACGGGCCCAGTGGGGTCAGGAGAAGTCCCACCTCCTTAGTGGGACCATTTTCACAACCAACAAACTAAGGGCAGATGTGAGCCAGGCAAAAACACATCTGGAAAATGAACGAGCCCAGTGGAATCAGGAGAAGTCCTGCCTCCTTACTGAGACCGCCACAACCTCCAGACTAAAAGCAGATTTGAACCAGGTGAAAACAAATCTGAAAAAAGAACGAGACCAGTGGAATCAGGAGAAGTCCCATCTCCTCAATGAACACATGGAGGCAACCTCCAGTTTGAAAGCAATGTTGACTCAGGACTTAGAGAGCAAAAGATGCCAGTGGGAGAGTGAGAAGTCCCGCCTCCTTACTGAGCACAAAAAGGCAATTTCCAGTCTAAAGGCAGAGTTAACCCGGTCAAAAGCAAATCTGGAAAATGAACGAGTCCAGTGGAATCAGGAGAAGTCCCGCCTCCTTAGTGAACACACGGAGGCAACCCCCAGTATAACGGAAAAGTTGATCCAGGACTTGGAGAGCAAAAAATGCCAGTGGGAGGAGGAGAAGTCTTGTCTTCTGGCCAAGCACACAGTGGCAACCTCCAGCTTGAAGGCAGATTTGAGCCAGGTGAAAACAGATCTGTACAATGAACGTCTCTTTGGAATCAGGAGATGTCCCACCTCTTTAGTGAACACACGGAGGCAACCTCCTCCCTGAAGGCAGCATTTCTTCAAACACAGGAAAACCTGGACAATGAAAGACTCCAGTGGAATCAGGAAAAGTGCAGCCTCCTGGAGTCTATCAGAACCATTAACCAGGCTATGTACCTGAAGGAAGAAAGACTGCAGTCTATGGAGGGACTTTTGATAAAACTAGAAACTTTGGAAAGTCAACTGGAGGAGGTTCAAAAAAAGACAAAGAAAACATCCATGAAGAAAAGATTCCTCAAGCTCTTTAGGCCAAGCTGCAGCAGGCCCACCTCCTGATCTGCTAAGTCTAATGCCAACCTCAATCAACCTGGACAAACAACACCATAAACTCTAATGACATTACACATTTACATTTAATAATTTTCTTGAATGCATGTATTACTACAACAGGGCGGCACAGTGGCACGGTGGTTAGCACTGTTGCCTCACAGCAAGAAGGTTCTGGGTTTGAGCCCCATCTGACTCGGTGCCTTTCTGTGTGGAGTCTGCATGTTCTCCCTGTGCCAGCGTGGGTTCTCTCCGGGTGCTCCGGCTTCCTCCCACAGTCCAAAGACATGCAGCTTAGGTTGATTGGAGACACTAAATTGCCCCCAGGAGCAGTTGTGTATCTAGCCACAGGGGTTTCACGTCAGTGACTTCTGTGCCGGTCCCAAGCCTGGATAAATAGAGAGGGTTGTGTCAGGAAGGGCATCCAACATGAAATCGTGCCAAATTATTCATGCAGGTAATGGGAACAGCCAAAAGTAGAGTAGTAGTACATGTAAATAAAACAATGTAAATAAAACAAAAGAAGAGTAGCATTGAAAGGTGGTAATGGTGTAGTTGTATATGCTTATAATTTGAATTAATGCTGAGTAGCCTGTAAATTTTTCACCAGGGTTCAATAATTGTTTATGGTTAAACTGTATTTAATTTTATTGATCTGATTTTGAAAAGAATTAGCTACGTTTGGGTCAAATGGTCACAAGAAAAAGTAATGGCACTATTTTCAATTTCTTGGTTTTCTGCATAAATTGGTCATTAAATGTGATTTGATCTTCACAAAAATCAAATATCAACAAACACAATATTTCTATGCTAATGCTAATATGCCATGGCTATGTACCAAAATATGGAAAGAATACAGTCTATGGATTTACTTGTGAAAATATCTAAAAACTTTGGAAAGTCAAAGGAGGAAGAGGTTCAGAAAAATACAAAAGAAAAAATACAAAGAAAAGATTCCTAAAGATCTTTAGGCCAAGCTGTTGGAGTCCCATGTTGTGATCTGCAAAGTCTTCTGCCAACCTCAATCGACCGACAACAGACAACACCACCAACTCTGTCAAGAAAATTATGAAACGTAATGTCAGCTATATCCAAATAATTTCTGAAAGGTTTACGTAGTTGCAAGGACCACATAGTTTGGTACTATTTACAGAAAATCAGAGACAGAAGGCTACAATACAATAGAACATAACATATTTATAGCACCCAACCCATGTAGCTTATCTTTTGTAGGATAAGATATATTAATAAAGGGTGATGAAGTACTCTGGGCGGGACCCCTGGGTTTTTTGGTAAATATGGCTGATTGTTGTACCTGTGACTAAATATCTCTTGTAACTCTTAAGCTAAATCAAAACAAATGGTGGTGCCTCTACTTAGCAGGAACTTATAAATTATAAGAATTTTACCCACTAAGAATAATTTTAACCCAAAGGTTTTGACCAGTTATCACTTCCTTTTTAAACTCAATACACCTTAATATACTCAAAATAAAACACACTCACTGTACTTTGAATGCAAAACATGAATTTAATTAAAATTCAAATGAAAAAAAAAGTTTATACAACTTATGAAATAAAATAGGGCCCACACACAATCACTCTGATAATTAAAGTCCTTGAAATAAACAAAACCCTTTCACTTGCAAAGTGAAAGTGTATTACACTTTCTGAGACAGATAAATATGTCATCACAAAGTATTTACCTTCAGAAATCTCCCGGTAAACTCTGCATTCACTAGGTAATGAGAAAATCCTCCTTTTTTACTCTTGTCCTCTTGTTTCATCTGTCTCTTGCCTGTCTACTAGTGATGTGTCGTTCACGAACGATTCGTTCATTTTGAACGAATCTTTCCCATGACTCGAGATCATCGGGTCGTCTCGGGGAGTGATTCGTTCATTTTGTGTTTGATTTGATTTGATTTGATTTATTCTTTCAAAC